CATAAATCCAGTTTATCCAGATGCGACGACCATTACTCGGCTACATGTTCCGCATTATTTTGGCGAAATTAAGACCGTCTGGCTTACGTCATCTACTATGGCAACAGCGCAAAATTCGGCTAGTAATTGCAACCTTCGACAGTCAAGGGCATGTCTGAATCTATTACATGTTGTCATTCACCAAGCACTTAAAGATTTCAACAGTATTTTAAGAACTGCTGTCGTTCATCCCTTTACTTGCTTCTCCAAAGGTCTTATTGAAGATCAAATTATCGAGATTAGCGTCATCTTTCAAAGCTGGCAGGTAATTTGCTTTTTATGAGGTCTCTAATCAAACTGAGCTATTCTGCAAGCAAGCCCAAAATGTATAACCTTGATGTAAACCGTTTAATGTCTGTTTTTTCTATTGCAAATAATCAACAAAAGAATCCCTCCCTTCCTTATTAATTTCGGTTTCGCATGGTTTAATCCTAATAAAGGAGAAATCGCAGAATGTGACCAAACAGAAATCACGACTGATGCGACTGTCGTTGTCCACATCTATTCCTCCTGGTATTGTTGAAATTGGACGAAATGATGCTTACAACATGTTTGGAGGAGAGCCTGGCAGTGATTTCGTCGTTGATGTGAGACATAGCGTTGCTGCATCTGCATATAGATAGATTATCACATGTTGCAGAGCATCAGAGCTTACAAAGCCTTTCCGAAGTCTGAAAGGACTCTGGCCTCTGCAGATGCTATAAGACTTTCACGTGTGAAACAATATGATGCGGCTGCTAAAGAAAATTTTTCCAGTGAGCTAAAGGAAATCTTCAAAGTTCCACAGTGAGTTGCTCATTATGACCTTCTTTCAAAATGAATGCACATCTCTTAGTTAGGTTATTTTATGGTCGTCTACAACAACGATTTCATTTGCATTCCTACACATGATGTTTTCAGCAAGGAAATGTCGCGGTACTATTTTCAGGTGAACATATTTGTATCAACAGGAGTAGTTTTTGCAAAGCGGTAGACCCTAACTGAATTAGCAAACTACTTAATCATAAATAATGGGGAACTGTATGAATACACAGCTTTATCATAACGTTAGCAACATTTTGCTTGGAAAGAAACTCTTGGAATTGTTGTGATTTACTTCAGAGATTAGGGTTGTGCCATCATTAAATTATCTTTAATCAATAATGGAATTTAAAGTCTACCTGATTTATTTTACAAAATTGTATTTATTTTTGTTGGATGAATGCTCAGCATTCCTTCCCTTTCATTACCTTCTCGTCTAGATCAGCTGTGATGAATCACCCTGCATTTTGGACGCTACCTCTTCCTTCTACCAGATCTCCTCCGTCACTACACATCTACCATATGCTGCACAACCTCAGTTGTTCGAGCTTCCTCCACAAATGCGTACTGTCGTAGTAAAGATGCGCAATGTAATCTTAGCTCATGATGTTGTGAGTAAATTTCTACGTTAGCTTGAGCTGCTCTCAGATGCGATTATCTTCTGAAGGTTGACGATAAACCACTTGTTTTGCTTCTCTACGGTGCTGCCGGAAGCGGCAAACGTTTGGTGGCCACACATGTCGCTGCAGAGACGCATCGTAATTTAATCGAAACAAGTTGCTATGATTTATGGAGTGAGATGGCTTCAAAATCGGAAGAGAGGCTCAACAACCTTTTTGAGAAAGGTAATCACCTGCATGAAGAGAACAATAATAGCTTCTTAAAGATTTTGAGCATGCAGTTAATTGTCATTGTTACTTAAACCACATATTTTTCAGTCACTTCGTTTCAACCTTGCATTCTTCATCTAACTTCCTTTGACGTGTTTGGATATGATGTGGCGACGAACACAACAGGTATGATGGGTCTTCAGACATTGACTTGGA